ATCGAACCGTGACCTCCTGGTTCATAGGTTGATGTTCAACCACTGGGCCATGCTAGCTGGGCTCATTTCAGATATGTAGCATGCTGTAAGTGAAAGAAATACTAGACTGTGGGCTTCTAACCATGTGTTTTATGAAGTAAGCCTCTCAAAGACAAAAAAAATTTTTAATGGCCCAAATAGAAATTAGGTCACCTTAGCCTTGAGATTTTTGCAGTGAAACATTAAAAAAATTTAGTCAAGGGGACCAAGACCCAAACAATCAATTAGTAAATTAATTCAAAACATAGACATATCAAAAGATATACTGGAGGTATCATAACTAAACATAAAAAAATTATTTGGATTACTAAAGCTACCAATCTAGTTTTGGGGGATTGTTTTTATTGTTGCTTTGGTTTGTGTATTCAGCTAGTATAATTGTTAATAAATCTTGTGGAAAATATATTCAGGTAGAACTATGGGGAAAAGTGGTGGTTGAATTGGGAATATGTAGTCATGAATTTTTTTCATGACTATTTTGGCAATTGTCTTTGTCTATGCCATATAATACCATAGACTAGGTGGCTTAAACATCAGAAATTTATTTTCTCATGGTTCTGTAAAGTGTGAAGTCCAAGATGAAGGTGCTGGCCTATTCTTGGTAAGAGTTCTCTTACTGGCTTCAGATGGCCACCTTCTCATTGTGTCCTCATGTGGCAAGAAGGGAGGTTGGGAGGGAGAGAGTGAGTGAGAGCTCTTGTGTGTGTGTCTCTCTCTCTTTTTTTAAATATGTTTTTATTGATTTCAGAGAGAGGAAGGGAGAGATAGAAAGGGATAGAAACATCATGATGAGAATCATTGATCAGCTGCCTCTTGCACGCCCCCTACTGGGGATTGAGTCTGCAACCCTGGCTTGTGCCCTGACTGGGAATCAAACCATGACCTCCTGGTTCATAGGTTGATGCTCAACCACTGAACCACACCGACTGGGCACTGTGTCTCTTTTTATAAAGGCATTAATGCCACCACGAGGGCCCATCTTCATGACCTCACCTAACTCTAGTTACCTCTGAGAGGCTTCATTTCCAAATACCATCATATTAGAAGATAGGGCTTCAACATATGAATTTTGTCCATAATAGCAATTAAGACATGACATATTATTCTAGTTCTAGGTAAGATGATAAAAGCACACTCTACCGTGTCTTTCTCATTGAATGTAACTATAAAACTTGAATGAAACACATGGAACAGCTATATGAGGACTCTGGAAGGTTAATAGTAGCAGGTGGACTAGGGAAGATGAAGACCAAAACACCACTGAATCAGCAGCGAGTTTTTTTGTCTGTGCGTGTTTTTTCCCACCAGCAACCCTTGGTCTAGACCAATGGTCGGCAAACTGAGGCTCACGAGCCACATGCGGCTCTTTGGCCCCTTGAGTGTGGCTCTTCCACAAAATACCACGTGTGGGCGCGCATGTACAGTGTGATTGAAACTTCGTGGCCCGTGCACAGAAGTCAGTATTTTGTGGAAGAGCCACACTCAAGGGGCCAAAGAGCTGCATGCGGCTCGCGAGCCGCAGTTTGCCAATCACTGGCTCTAGACTGAAGGTACCTTGAAACTCAGAACAGACACCAGGGCACAGACAGAGAAAGCTCCAAGAGAAGCCTTCCAGTTCTGGCTCAAGGAACAGGGAAAGTACCTCCTAATGCTCAGAGAGTATCATGGAAATCTGATAGTTTTTGTTCTTTTCAGGAGAACAGATGCATGTGTCTCTCCTTACTCAATGTTGATTTGTTACTTCTCTGAGAGAGATTAGTTCCAAACTAACTAGGATAGCAATAGACAATGAAATTAACAGTAAGTTGGACTATGCAGAATAGAAATGGAGTTTCTTACTCCTGAATTTACTTCCCAGAGAGTGACATATAAAAAACAAAAAAAGGAGGTAAAATGTTTTTCTCTCTCTTTTTTTAAAAAATATATTTCTTTATTGACTTGAGAGAGGAAGGGAGAAGGAGAGAGAGAGATAGAAACATCAATGATGAGAGAGAATCATTGATCGGCTGCCTCCTACACACCCCCTACTGGGGATCGAGCCCGAAACCCAGGCATGTGCCCTTGGCCAGAATCAAGCCTGGGACCCTTCAGTCTACAGGCTGATGCTCTATCCACTGAGCCAAGCCGGGTGGGGCAAAATGTTTTTTCTCTTAATAAAAATAGCAAATAATTACATTAGTACCTCCCCATTCTTCCTCTTTGGCTAACTCACAATTAAAACATGATACCTGATAATCTATGTGAGTGTTTTTAGAATTTGTTACAGTAATCTCTCACCAACTGGGAGTAGTGTTGGTTATATTCCTGAAAAGTGCTGTTACATAAAATCTTCATTGGCAAGTTCAAGGTTTCACAGAAAATAGGAAATTTACAAGAAAATAAGATAATAAAATTGCCAATTGAGCAGAAAAGAATCATTTCCCTCAGTTGTTCATTAGCTCATGTTCTGAAAGCCATGATCTGCTGTGGAAGATGGGGCTTATCTTATATTAACCACACTTCTTTTTGTAAAGTTCTTGATGCAGCCCTTTCTGTATTGGTAAATAATGCTTTCTTGCATTTGCTTTCTCATTGGTATCATTTTTGCAAACCTTGATACATTCTTAGTAGCCATTTGGTCTTTCCAGACGAGAAGGTCATGGTTTTTCTAGGCCTGATCTCTTACTGGTACTCTCCATTTAGAACAGCAGACCTCCTCTACCATCTGACCATAAGATTTGGGTGGGGGTGAAGATGAGGGTAGGGATAACTATACTTAAGTTCTTTGAGATCACACATTTTTAAATTTAGGCGTATGAATATGAAGCCATATTGTGACAAAACTATGATTGGCAAAATGATAGTTGACAAGGGATTATTACATATAAGTTCTTAGAAAGCTTTATAACTTTTTAATATTGTAACATATACTCTGAAACCTAGAGTTCAAATTCAGCATTCATTTGTTGGATTCTAAAAGGAAGGGGAAAATCAAAAGTCCTCCCATGCCCAGATCAGAAGGAACAAATCATAGAATCATGAAATTATGAAGGTGGCAGAACTATCCCAATCTCAGAGGAGAAAACCCAAAAAGGCTACCTAACATGTGACAGTCACAGAGCCGGCCTTCTCAGTTAGCACTATCTTAATTGAGAATTTCTCAGATACTGTTCTCAACTATTTTGACAGAGGCTGTTTGTTCGTCACCTACCTGGCACGCTATACTTGGCAACACTCTTCTGTGTTGGGTACAGAAACAGAATTTGGGGATGATCATTAAAATGGAGAGTCATGGGCCCCACCTTCCTATGGAATGAGGAGGAAATGTCCACCAGTAGAGACTTCTAGTTTTCGTCTGTTGTTGGCCTATGAGTGTGAGTTCATGTGCTGGAAATCCTTATGATTCACTCAACTGAAGAAATATGCTTATTCACTCTCTTCTCCCACTTCCCTCAAAACAACAGTAACAACAACACAACACAAAACAATTACGATGTTTCATGACTTTAGACACCATTCACTTAAACTATTCCCTTTTACTTACAAAATTCCCAAGGAAAGGGTAGGAGAAGGCTCTTTGAGTGCTAATGTGCGAGGATAACATGATAATAAAGTACAGGAAGCCAGTTTATAGCATAAGTAGGAATGAATGATAGATAGATTGGACAGTGGAAGACGTAAAGCTGTCCAGCCAGAGGTTCAAGAACATCTAGACAGAATTCTAATGCTGTTTATCTGGTTAAGAATCATTAGCATCTCCAGCTTTTTGCAAAACTCCCTAGGGCCATGGTCGGCAAACTGCGGCTCGCGAGCCACATGCGGCTCTTTGGCCCCTTGAGTGTGGCTCTTCCTAAGCCTTAGGAGTACCCTAATTACGTTAATAACAATATACCTACCTATATAGTTTAAGTTTAAAAAATTTGGCTCTCAAAAGAAGTTTCGATCGCTGTACTGTTGATATTGGGCTCTGTTGACTACTGAGTTTGCCGACCGCTACCCTAGGGAATGAAAACACCTCAACCTCTTTGTCGCCTTCTCTTTGCCATCCCCTTTCCTGAACCCTCTTTTACCGGAGAACTCAGAAGACATAAAGAAATGGGTGTGGAGCACGCCTCTGGCACCGGGCCTTGTGTGGCACTGAAGGCTCTCAGAATGGGTCTGTTATTTAAAGTTCATAAGCAGCAGGCTAGAAAGTGGAAAGGTTTGTTAAACTCTATCACACATACTATTGTGAAGTTGAATGGAACTTTGAGCACTGCCAATTTAGTATATTTGATTTGTTTCCTGCACCTCTGTAACTCAAGTTACTAGCTTTTCTTTTTCTTTTCTTTCTTTCTTCCTTTTCTTTTTCTTTCTTTCTCTCTACCTCCCTCTCCCACTTTGTTTTGCTTTTCTGTTTCCAAAAAGGTAGGGAGAGTGATTTTAATGTTAGGTTGCTAGTGCACTACTTCTGGGCCTCTCTCTAAGGTGAAAGAAGGTGGGGTAGTAGATATTTCATTCTTAAAGATCTAAAAACAGCAAGTTTTGCTCTTGCCTGCCCCTTGGGAACCTGTACTCAGTCTCTGAATAGGATATATCATTTCTTTTGCTCAGTAAAACTCCTTCAATGTTAGGAGCATTTCCATGAGTGGCACATAGTAAATATTTTTTAAAATGTGTTGTGCTCAAATGAATTAAATCTTATATGAGGAACTGCAGTTCTGATGTTATGATAGTCATGTGTTGTCGCCACCATCACATGGAATCTATAGGAATGGGTCCTGAAAGACCCTATTAGATATGTCAGATTGGGGGGAGTCAATTAATTAAAATATTTGTTAAGCCCCTCCTATGTCCTAGGCATCATCTTTTCTCAAGAAGTTCACATCTGATAGAAGAACAGAGAAACTTAGACCCCAATTATAATTCTGTGAGATGAGTGCTATGCCAATGCTAAGAAGAGTGAGTTATGGAAGCTAACAGAATGGACACAGATTTCAGTGTGCTTAGAAAATAAAAGATCTCTAATTTTTATTGTACATTTTAGTTTTACTTATGCTTCAAGGTTACAATCTATTCTGGTTACTAGAGAAACAGGGAGGAAACAGGTTTTCTGCAATCTTAATTTTTAAAATGTTAAGCACCAGCACACATCATTTCCCAAATACTTTCAAGGGCATTTTTCTAGAATCAGGTAAATGAGAGCAAGCAAGTGACCTACTTACAGTAAAAAATGCTCCAGGTAATAAAGGATGGGAAGCCAAGTGCATCCTGGAAACCACAGCATCTGGTCTTGTTTTATGCTTCATCTATCAATCTGCTGCTACAAGAATTGAGAATTAATTTTTCAACTACAGTACTGTTTCTTCTATTTCAGCTGATGAATTTATATCATTGTTATTCTTACCCAATCCCTCCCATCCCATCTTCTCTCCCATTAAAAAAGTAACAACAAAAGCAAACCATTTGTGAAGGTCCCAAACAAATCCTAGAGAGGTTACTCTTTAGCTACTTCCTAAAACTTTTGATAAGCTACACTATAGTAAGGTTAGCAACTCCCTGTTTTGATCAATCCTGACTTTCCACAGATATTATCATTTGGACAGTGTATTTTCAGAACTGTATTAAAGCTAAACAACAAAATGTTACAGATTTAAAATAAATATGTTCAAAAACTGTTTATTGCCCTGGCTGGCTTGGCTCAGTGGATAGAGCGTCAGCTAGCGGACTGAAGGGTCCCAGGTTCGATTCCAGCCAAGGGCACATGCCTGGGTTGCAGGCTTAATCCCCAGTAGGGGGCGTGCAGGAGGCAGCCAATTAATGACTCTCATCATTGATGTTTCTAGCTCTCTCTCCTTCTCCTTTCCTCTCTGAAATCAATAAAGAAATATATTTTTTAAAAATGTTTATTGGTAGCATTAACTGTAAAAGATATACAATTGGCAGCAGTGCCTGAGAAAAGAATTATGTAGCAATGTAAGAGTGTAAATTAGAGCTATCCAGATGACATGAGAAAATTACATACATGCTCATAGGTACATAAGCATTTTAAATTATATGTAAAGTTTAAAAACATAAAAGCATGAAAAGTAGATTTACAACAGTATGTTCTTTGAACTTTGCTGTTGCATCTCTTCGCTCTCCGTGCTTTTTATAGAATGGAGCTATAATTCATCTTTCACTACTTTCAATCTGTTGAAATTTTAATTTTCCATTATTTTTGCCTTATTTCATCTTATTTCAATGGAAGCTTCAAGCATTTAATCTTGGTCTTTCTTAATGCTTTCATGGCTTCAGGTACAGCTTCATATTCTTGCTTTACTTTCTTTCTCCTCCCATCCTATTCAATAACTTGTCAAAATACTAATTAAGGTTATTCTTTCCTGATGAAATATTTTAAAAAGAACCAAGGTTACCAAGTGACTATTATACTGGCATAATTACTGCTATATAATTTTACCTATTTGTTGCAGTCCTACTCTTTCTAAATCACTGTCAAGCGAATCAGTTCTAATGAGTAATGAATAGGGTCCAAAAATTTCAGATTTGTTTTTCCTTCCAGAGATTTTATTCCCAACATGAGTCTTCCATGCTTTGATTTCTAGATGTATCCCAGCTGGCTTGATGGTTTAGCTGTCCACATGGGCTTTGGAGCCTGGGGCAATAGAGATTTTTGTAAAAATACATCTGAAATCACTGACTAGGGGAGGATTATCCAAAGTGTAGTCCAAAACTATCTTTATCCAAATCATCTCAGGGGCTTATTCAAAATGTAAATCCCTAGGCCAGTGATGGCGAACCTTTTGAGCTTGGCGTGTCAGCATTTTGAAAAACCCTAACTTAACTCTAGTGCCGTGTCACATACAGCAATTTTTTGATATTTGAAACCATAGTAAAACAAAGATTTATATTTTTGATATTTATTTTATATATTTAAATGCCATTTAACAAAGAAAAATCAACCAAAAAAATGAGTTCGCGTGTCACCTTTGACACGCGTGTCATAGGTTCGCCATCACTGCCCTAGGCCCAAACCTAGAGTAGTTAAATGGGAACCTCTAAGGCACGGACCTGGAGATCTGCCTTTTTCCAAGTTGTCCAAGTCTGTATAGATCCATGGTGAAACGTGAGAACCTCTAAATCTAAGGAATCCTTTCCCATTCGGGGTCCAGTGCATTGAATGACCGTGGCTACAGAGCAAACTAACCACACTCTCACCCAACTAACAAAAGCAAAGAAGAACTTAGTTCTGTGGGGAAATGGTGGGGGTGGGGCGAGGTGAGGTGGGGGGAGAGAATCTTCCATAAACTGTTTTAAGAGGCATTAGTTTTTTTAAAAACTTTCTACAATAAATATAATAATTATTTTTAATATCTTGATTCTAACAATCACAGAGGGAAGGCTCAGAAAGTCTACAAAAAAAATCTGTTGTTATAATTTCCTGATTATTATTACACCTCATGAATTATTTACTGAGCCCCTACTGAGGGCCAAATATGGTGTTTTGTGCTGCCAGTGATTATATAAAGCTATCCTGGGATGAAAAGCATATGCTCACTCTGTTCTATCCTAAAAGAACCTACTTGATTTAGTGATTGCTGAAAATGAACACGGACGGTATGTGGAAAGGCAGTAATCTGATGTCTTTGGGCCTAGACCTAGGAGGCTTCCTAAGGATTTGCTAAATGAAAATTAGGTCCAAAAGGTATAGCTCTAGGCCCTTGGTTTATAACCAAGCCACTGAAAAAGGGATGAGAAGCTAGCATTTATTTGGGGACATGTACACTATTTATGGTCAGTTGCGATTACTTAATCCAACAATTTCCTTTCCTATGTAATCCTACCCCAGTATTAGGCAGATGCGATCATATTGGAAGTTCCAACTCATTCTAGAACTCATTTAGCATGTCCCTAGTAGGGTAACCTACCCCTCATGGTTTGCCTGAAACTTTTTCTGTTTTAGCATTCAACGTCCAATGTCTCAGAAACCCCCTTAACGTCAAACAAACTGGGTAGGTTGGTCATGTGGTCCTTAGAGCAAGACAGGTTAAGGTTCTTAGTTGACCTAGTTTCACTCAGGGTATGATGAGCTTAGTGGGCCACAAAACATAAGGTTCTTTCCTTCAGTAACTTCTACCTTTTCGCTCTGTCAAGGCATGTTCCCATGAGCATCCCAAGCAATGGGATTATCAGATTGAGGATAATTTCAGGGGCCCAGATGAGAGTATCTTCTAAGACTGACTGACAAACTGGCTTATATTTTTTTGTAAACATTGTTCGGATCTCCTAATCATTCTGTTTTCCTCAAAGTTCTATCTTCCTCTGTAAGTAATCAGTCTAGTAGTACTCCCTAGTTTCATATTATTATAAAAATTTACACTATCATTGTAGACACCCATATAGACAAAAAGTCTGGATATAAAACCTGAACCACTTACCAAACATTCCATTCTGATGGTCGGTGACTCCAATCAGTTTTTAAACTTTCACTCACCCACATGGCTGGCCAGTGGGCCTCTGTGGTTGAGCGTAGACCTATGGACCAGGAGGTCACTCCTCAATTTCCAGGTCAGAGCACAAGCCTGAGTTGCGGGCCCATCTCCAGTAGAGGATGTGCAGGGGGCAGCCTATCAATGATTCTCTCTCATCATTGGTGTTTCTCTCTCTATCCCCCTCTCCCTTCCTATCTGAAATCAATAAAAATATACTTAAGAAAAATAAACATCCACACATCCCTATCATCCCATACTCTCCCTTTACTGCCTAGATTTTGTCATTTCATTTTAACTCTTTCATCTAGATTTTAAAATTTAACTGGTATTGCATTACTATCTCTAAGACAAGATATAGGTGTAGGGTTTGAATTAGATCTGTTCCAAGGAAATTTTTCCCCTTTTTAGATACACAAACTTAGGAAAGTTTAAGTTTTAAAATTTGCTCATCTATAAAAAAGAAGAAACTGATGGCTATTTTAGAGGATTGGTTTCTGTTGTTGTTTTGTTTTGGGGGAGTTTAGATTCAGGATGTGAATATTGCCTGACACCTAGGGCTGTCGTTCAATCAACTGTAGCTATTATCCTCACTACAGTATCACAAGCCTGTAACAATGGCAGCATTCACTAACTTCAACAGTCAGGCTGCAGAATTTTAGCCATCCGAGAGGACGCCTAAAACAGAGGGGCACCAGCGGCCTTCCCTCAGGGTATGATGAGCTTAGTGGGCCACAAAACATAAGGTTCTTTCCTTATGTAGGGTAGGGAGGGTAGGGAGAGGAGCGGTCTGACGGCCTCTGTCTGAACAAGTGATGCTTCTCATACCCGAGGACAGTGTCTCCTGTCGTCTCGCCCCCTGGCAGTCTGTTGAGGAGGCTCTGGCTTTCAGGTCTGCTCCCTTGGGACCTCTGGGTCACGTCTCTTATTCTGGAAAGGGGAAGGGGTAAAGAAAAAGGGAAGTCACCCAAATGCAAAACCTGTCACCAGATGCCTGATTCCGCCCTGACTACCGGGCCCGCCTGGGTGGGCTGCCCAGTCGTTCCGCTGTCAGGTTTGCAGGCCGCCACCCCCAGGTGGCAGGAGGGTGAGCTCACCCTGGAAACCGAAAGGCAGATGGCGAGGGTTGGCCGTGCGCGGCCGCGCAGGCACCTAGCAGTGGCGAGCGGGTC